ATCTGATTAGGTAAAGCAGATATTTTCCTTGCAAAATCATATCAAGCAAGTTTGCCAGTAGTTAGCTCTACAAATGTATTGAAACCCTCAATTTCTGGAAAACGTAGGCAGCTCTCCCTGAAGTGCATCAGTGATGACGCTCTGTCTCATCAAACAAGTTGCATTCACAAGGGACCAGGGAGTCTGTCTATGCTTCTGGTATTTTTTGTGTTGGTTTTCAAACATATATATCCTCCTTTTTTTATCCTGACTTTTTTGCGTGATAGCTCATTGGTTTTAAGGTTGTTCACCTAGAAGGTGAACAATCCAGAAATGTGGAACGGCAGAACATGCTGAAATATAAATGGATAGAGCATGGTTTTACATGAAAGGGCTTTTGCCAGGTTTTCTACTGAAGTGTGTGAGTTTAAAGCTGTGAATCAACACCCTGCCCTCTGCACATTCAGTGTTAGGTCACAGCATAGTGGCAGTGACAAACTCCTGAGCGGCCAAGCCCGCTTAAAAATACTGCATGGAGGCACTCAGCAATAAAGGACTATACCTTCAACAGCCAAGAGATGCCAAGGACTTTTGAAGACTGATGACCAACGTGGAATATCACTTTACATATGTACTGTACATCCTAATGCTGTGCCATGCAGAATTGCTGAAACTGTCTCTGGAACAGGGAGTGATGTAACACTAGTTTGGCACTCCTCTATAGCTTGTGTAGAGTTATTCCCAGCAAGGTTAATTTGTGTGAGCTCTTCAACTGGAATTAACTTGCTCACAACTAGCTTTAGGTCTCCAAGATATTGTGCACATATGTCTGGTATTGGAAAGCTCATAGTAGCTGGCATTACGTTGGCAGTTTCCTCGGCAATATAAAAAAATTGAAGCTACATGATGCGATTACCAGAAGCAGTGGGAGAATATTTTATTTCTTCAGTCTCATGCTCTTTTGCAGTCTTTTAGCTAGTGGCTCACTGTTACGTCATTCACTTCATGAAGGACAACACCCTGTTTGTTAAATGGATGGCCTACTTTTAAGTTTTCTTCCAGGAAAAAATTCCATAGCTGCAAAATCTTTAATGATCTGACTGATAGTCTTTTTCCAGTGCCCAGACTAAATGCAGAAGAGAGCTGATGGTTGTAGAGCTGCTTTAAGATGATTCATTACTTCCTTGCTTGTTCTTTAATAGTTTTGCCCAAATTTTATTTTTTTCTCTGCTGCTCAGTTACAGATTCTTGCCTAGTTCTCCTGATGTTCTTAATTTTAAATCTCTTCTAGCATTACAGCTCTCCAGCTTTTTACCTGTTACCGTCTGTTGATTTTTTAAACCCAAATATTATTCTTCTGTTTTCTAAAATGAATCTCATTGCAATATTCTGCCTGTGTTTCTAATCTTCCTGTGACTCCATGTATTATTTCTCCATTTTCAGCAGTATGCACAGCTCCTCCTAGTTTAATAGATCTGCAGATTTCATTAATATACCATTTACTCCCTCTTCTAGCTCATTATTGAAACTATTAAATGAGATCAGAAGTAATACTAATCTTTGTGTACTGCACTAAATGCCTCCCTTCAAAGTTATTGTTTATCATTACCCTTCATTGTTTGTCATCACCCTTCATTTCCATCAACATGATAGTTCATTTCCAATTTGATTTAAGTTTGGGAACAGAATTTTGACACACTGGGGATAGGAGAAGAAAGGCTAATCAACAAACCAGCAGAGGCTTCTAATTAAGGCTCAATTTAGAGGATCAAAGTTAGGAGTCCTCTACTGCAGCCACAGTCTAAGGTGGAAACTGTCTCCGTAACTTAATTGAGAACACCTTAAGCTCAGTGCTAAAATATCCTAAAGAAAACAGTATACTGCTAAAATTTAGACATGTGACAGTATAGCTTCTGCTCTTTATTCATTAGTTTTGTATTACAATTAAAAAATCAAGTTTGTCTGGCAGACTTCAAAGTGTTTCAGTAAACTTGTTTTCTCAATAGCTGTTCCATTATGTTGCCAGGGAGGGAAGCTAAATTTATGAGTACCAATTACAAAGACAACTCACAGAATATGTGAACTTCTATCTTTGGCGCTTTCAGAGACGTACAGTTTTGCTTCCAAAGCAGCTATCTCCTTCTTTTCTGTTCCTGCACAGTGTAAAATTTCAGGAAAGAGATTTTAATTTTCACAACCCTTTCAGAGTTTAATTTCTAAATTGTGTAGTAAATACTATTAAACATACTTATAATATGTCATTAGAAAGCGTTGCCTCAGTCAGGAAAAACTCATTTTGTCAAGATGCAATTCCTCTGATAATAATTAATCCCAGATGATGTAAAGACCCAACACGAAAGCCTGTTCATCCTTCACCTTAATGTAATACCTAGTATTTTATAAAGTTAGATTGCTAACCCTTAGCATCAGGGCCAATTACTCTTAGTCTTCATTGACTTGCCAAAAATATCTTTGCCCAAATACATTTGGATATCCAAGAACTGCTTGATTTTTCCTAGGAATACTTGGCTTGAGCTCATTTAGTTACATATAGTCTTAGTCAATGCAAATGTAAAAACCCTAAACGTAGTCTGGAAAAAAATTTTCCTCTAGGTAGAACTGAGATCTCTTATAGTTTTGTACTTATATGTGTTGAACGAAACAATGGGACAGTGAAATACTGACATTCAGGTTGGGATCAGGTTATTTGTTAGATGTAGGGAA